AGCCTCCTTTTCTCCAGGCTAAACAACCCCAGTTCCTTCAGTCGCTCCTCATAAGTCTTGTTCTCTAGACCCCTCACCAGCCTCGTTGCCCTTCTCTGGACACGCTCCAGCACCTCAATGTCCTTCTTGTAGTGAGGGGCCCAAAACTGAACACGGTATTCGAGGTGCGGCCTCACCAGTGCCGAGTACAGGGGCACGATCACTTCCCTATGGAAGAAGTAACCTTCTTCCATAAGCCCAAACCCCTGAAACCTGTGTCTAGAGTGAAAAAAAAGGCTGATCTAGTCCCTGAAAAGAGCAAGCAACATCAGAAGCCAAAGTTCCCTGAAGTCCAGCTAAGGCTTCAAGGGCTTCAATGCTCCCTATTGCATGGAAACTACATCTGACAAGTCCAACGGCTGTTATTTTGTCATCTGCCTCCAGGAAGCTGCCAGAGTGACAGGCAGGATTCTCTGAAAATTTGCCCAAAAGAAGACATTCCATCTTCTGTTTTCAACAAACTGGCCTTTTTTTTAAAAAAAAGTGCCATTTTTTTTGAAAATTTCTGTCTCCTATAAAGTGATTGCTGTGTAAATTTATAAATTTTCCCCATCTGATTAATTTAGACTGAAAACATTCACACATGCCATTGCCATTTATTGATCTTCAGTAAGGTTCATCAGAAGTTCTAGTTAAGTATGAGTTCTAGTTAAATCTTTGTGATGAAACAAAGCAAAACAAAACTAAAGCTAACAACACTGATTTCCCAAATAAACAACCAAAGCAGGTAAGCCTGATATGCTGCAGTACAGCTTTTGTGAAGATTTAATTGCTTAGCTCACTCTCATCTTCTTCAGCATGGACATTCTCCATGACTGGACTAGCAAGGGACCTACTGCGCTAGGAGATGTGGTAATTAACACACATGAACTCAGTCCCCAAGGAAGAGTGGGAGCATGAGACACATGAGCTGCAACTTTCTTGGCACACACAGGTACATTAAGGTACTGCAGCAAAAATTTGGAATGGAAAACTTAAGTTTTCAACTGGAAAAGAGATATTTTTAATCTAAATTTTCTATGTTTAATGTTTGTCTCTAAAGAGTTAACAGATTTATGGGAAAATATGTTAAATATACTTATTTATTTCCATCAAAATATGCTACATCAATAACAATAATAATTCCAGTCCTCTTTGCAGATCTGGAAGGGAATAGGTGCTGTCTAACTCTGGTTTGTGAAAGTTTTGTATTTGGTATACAATAGGTATTATTAAGACAATTCCACAAAGTATATGCTTTTAGCTTATATTGACTAGTAGATGTTCCTTTCTTGTCTTTCTATGAAATCAAATGTTACCGTGATGATTTTAGTCCAGAAATGTATGCATATAGGTAAGAAAAAGTATCAAAATCAGCTAAGAAATCTGAATCAAATTAAATCTCATTTCTGAATATTTAGTTTCTTGTAAAAAGTGGCACAAACTGATATAAGCAATCTCTTTGCTTCCCATTTTGTTACTGTTTGATCTGCAAATACATGTTCACAGTAGGTCTAGATTTCTCTGATTTGAATAAGAAGAAAATATAATTTGATCCATTGCTATTTACATAACAGAAGAATGTATTTGGAAAACTACAAGAATTTCCTAATTAAATTGCAGCAATTTCTATCTCATGAGCTTGCATGGGATCTAAACAAGATTTGAAAATCCTAAGAATTCTTGCAAACATTTCCTCAACTGAGACGGCAGTTAATTTTGAGCATGTTTGCCTAGATTAAACAAGTTAGGAATTTCCTAATATAAGACGTAAATCTAGAGAAATCTACAAAAAGAAGAGGTTTTTTTATTAATTTTGTATGGAAATGGTTTCTTATGAAAACTTTTTAGCCTAGAAATTACTATATAGAGGACACAATTACTTAACAGAAACATTTAAATGCACCATAATGTTTTCCCTTCATCGTTACCAAGTAGTTGTTGCCAACAAGTTAAATAGCAGTCAATCATGTTGAAATGTCCTTTGCTTAACTGAGCTGTTTCTTTCTTATTTGTGCTAGATTGTTATTATATGAACCAGAAGTATCATCCTAGCCCTGTTGCAGACAAATTTTTAAAGTCCTGTCACTTTTTTTTTTTTTCTTCCAGCCATTTTCCTCTTTTCCTGAAATTACACAGAGCCTTTACTTACCTCATGCACAAAAATGGCAAAGGTGAAAAGCTTATTCCAAACCTAGGGGCCTACACTTAAATCTGACAAGGAAGCATTGCTGTTGGCCAAGAATAGAGGATGGAGACTCATGTAGTGATGCCTGGAAAAAAGCTGTGTCAATGGAGGCCAAGGAAGAAGGAAGGGCAGATGGTCCATGCCAGAATATATTGTCGCAGTTCTGATGTCACATACAAGTTACTTTATCACTTAATTCCACTTGTGCTGTATCAT